TTATGCACCAGGTGACTGGTGGATCATCAATTAAATTAATTGTTAGATTTTCTATCTAAAAATTAAATAAAAAGAATAGAGAAAACTTCAAATATATAGTGATTTGAAATATAATTAAAGCTAAAACATAGCCTTGACAAGATTTACAAGTAATAGAAAGAAGAGAGTAACAAGTTGAATAAGAAGTATCAATATCATGTTGCCAATAGATAATAAATATTGTGTTAAATTGATAGAAAGTTTTGCATTTATAAAGTAACTTAAGAATATTTACAAATTATAATAAAAAAAATTTACCCTTAATTCAAAAAAAAATTTTGGTATTTTGCTGCTATATAACTGCAATTGCACTTCTATATAAGCACCTCCTATTGTCTTTATAAGCACATTAATTTTTCAAACTAACTACTATTAAACATATAAAAATCACTCTCTACATAAGTACATTTTCTATATAAGAACCCTTTTTATCAGTTCTGATAGTGTGATTATATAGGAGTGCTGTATTTATTTTTATTTCTAGTACATATATATATATATAAACAATCAATAACAACTGATTTATACCAAGTTTTTAAACATAAGCATTCTCTTCAAATAATCAGTTTTGAATTGGGTTAATTGTATTCTTGATTTTTGAAAATATTTTTTGCTTGATATGCTCATGGCTTGTACAACTAAATAATCCTTGCCATTTGTACAAGGTCTGTTTTAATCATTTTGAGGATAATTTGTTAAGCGTTTCTGGTACAAGTTTAATTTGAGATATACTGTAGTGTTACAAATCGAAAATCACAACTAATCAAAAAGTTGACAACTAATCAATTAAAAATTTTTGGCAACTTATATTAAAATCAAATAAAAATCGAATTATCAAAAAGTTGACAACTAATCGATTGCAAAATTTTTGGCAATTTGTATCACTAGCTCAAAAGGCGTATTTCATCCATGAAATTAAGTTCAAGTGGTGCAAAAACATTGTTTTTAACCCACCTAACCCATTATTATTGACCAAAATAAAAACAATAATAATAATAATGCAAAAGAAAACACATAGTGAGTATCATGAGTCAGGGTAACAAGAAAGCACATTGCAATATTGCAAAAAAATTGATTTTCAAATAGATATGAAAGTTTGAATATACCGGGTGGGTGAAAAGTCCCTATACAGGACCTTTTTTTAATCATTGGCATACTGTATTTTTTGATTATCCATATAGGCGGAAATCTTCAATTTTGTGATTAGTTTGTGATTATTTAAGTTGAATGATGAGATTATTGCGGTTTGCAAAAAAATGTGAAATTTGCAGATCAAAAAAAAAAAGAAATCGATGATTTCTAATTTCTGATTGCTGATTTTTTTAACATTACTTCTGATGACGTATGTATATCAACTAATATTATACTATATAAAGTCTTTTATATATTTATTTTGCATACATTGTTTTAAAAAAAATTCGTTTCTAATGAATGCTTTGGATGCACAAAGTGGTTTTTTTGTCATCTTCTAGAATTTATTGTAATGAAAAAATGTATATATTCCAATAAAAAAAGTTATACTAAAGCTCCTTAGCAATGTCATGTAATACTGTAATTCTTATAAGATTGAATTTAGTGCAGTTTTTAAATTTTCTTCTTGCTTATTATGCAATAGTAAATTTTACCGGCTAGAAGAGACCAAAATTTAATATTTCACAATCAAGTTCTTTACAACATGAAAAGTATGCAAAATATATTCCTACAAAAGATGCTAAATCAAATATGTTACAAAATTATGAATCTACGACTTTTATTTCTGCAAAAAAATGTTAAAGAAATCGGCAATCAGAATCAGAAATCATCGATTTCTTTTTTTTTTTTTTGATCTGCAAATTTCACATTTTTTTGCAAACCGCAATAAATAGGATTTGAGCCAATAATATATGGGACCCCCACAGCAAAAGGGGGGATGGGCCAAAAAAATTTTTTTTAAAAAAAATTCAATATCTCGAAGAATCAAATTGATTAGAATAAAATTATTATAAGAACAAATTTTCAAATTTTTTGGCCCATCCCCCCTTTTGCTGTGGGGGTCCCATATACTGTTTTACTAACAACACTAACCCTAAACCCTAACCTAACCCTAAAAAAAACCCCCCTAACGAAAAGGCCCGAAAATTTTTTAAAATTTCATAATAAAATAGGTCGAAATTTCAGCATCATCCCCGACAAATATTAATATCATATATTACTAATTTGATATAATGAATATTTATTAAAATAGATTAAATATTATATTAATTGTAATATAGACTAATAGTAAAAAAATTTAAAATATAACTGCTAAAGCAACTTTATTATATAAGTACTATACGTACTGTACGTACTGTACGCTAAAAAATTTTGGATATCATATAAATGGCACATCACTAGGCTGCACTCATATAATATAGTTCTTTCGAAGGGTTTCATATAATATATTTAGCAATGTCGAAATGGTTGCCGAAAGTACGATTTTTCGAAAATAATTTAGGCACCCATGTATAGTCATAAGTTGCGTCATGAGTCGCGTCATGCGTCATAAGTTGCGTCATGCGTCATTTCGTCAATTCGAAGTTGCATGACGAAATGGTTTCGTCATGCGTCACCCATCACTAAGACCCGTAATCAGTATTTTTAACTTTAGGCGTTTTTTGAATTGAATATAGTTCACTTGTTTTTTAAAAAATAATCTATTATAAATATGACGCTAATTAAATATGGCATTTTTTAAAATAAATGTTTACTATAACTAGAAGCTACTTGTTTTGATTTTTTGAAAGCTTGGATGTTTTTTATTAATTACTTAATAGTTTGATAGAAGCTTTCAAATGGTACACCACGTAAATACGTTTTTTTATTTTTCATATTAGAGGGAGCTTGAACAACTTAAGATAATTGAATTCACCTTCGGATCGAATTTCAATACTGATCCGATTATATATCAGGCATTTGAACTAAAAATATTCAGGAGATAACAAATTGACTCTTATACATGCGAAGCTAGCTCTTCATTTATTATTGAAGATAATAATTCTCAAGAAAAATTATTTCCGAAAACCAATCCTTTTGGAGAATATCTTACGGCGGTCGAAGAGAATTGTAATCTCTTCTATTTCTGTAAAACAAGGTCAACCAATATGTGTTACGCTGGTTTTGCACAAGTAGATAAAACTATTTGACCTATAGGCAACAAGAGTATCAGTAAACAAAATAAATGTAACGTATAAGTGTAATAAACACTATATATACGAACATGAATTTATTTGTGTATTACAGTATAATAAAACTGCGGATTTTAACCTAACGTGTTCATAGAAGTATATTATTAGTACCTTTGTACAAACAATTTAAAGCATACTGTAGTTTGAAGAGTATATTGGCCGATAAAATGTAAATTAGGACGGACATGTGGAAAGCATAATAATACGTACGGTTTATTAAAAGAAAAATTTTCAATTTAAAGCTATTTTTTTTATAACCCTAACACGAAAAAAGGACAATACCTGTACATTCCCTATTCTAACCATTAAAAAAGGGATAATTGTAAAAATCGAATTTTGCAAGTCTATGTTAATTGTACTGACGTACAGTACTATCAAAATCAAACATGATTTTCTTATGTCCGTCAAAACCTGATTAGCAACATATCTCTAGTATTAATCAATTGTACAATACAAACCAGTCACGCTATACAAAATGAATTTTCGTGTGTATGTACTGTTCGTACGTACGTACGTTATACCCAATGTCACACAAATTATTCTATATAAGCAGCTTCGAATTAAATATTGTCTTTTTTGCCTTCACTTTTTAACAATTACTACTGAAATACATCTGAGTTATCTTAAAACACAATGTGTGTATTTAGTCTCTAAATATTCATTGCTAGAGAGTATGTCAAAGCTTATGTAATTTAAGATTTTATTATAGAAATTTTTTTGACCAAATTTGAAACTATTATAATTACTTTATATTATTCTCAGGAAAATGGAAAAAGAATTCATATACGTACATGGCCTTGAAATAGTAAGAGAAAGCGATATTATATGACCTTATCATACTACTTGGCATGCTACTTGGCATGTCTGTATCTTTACACTTTTTCCACCCATACTTTCCATATAAGAGAGTATCTTGGCATGGGATGACGACACCATTTCTTTACATTAAGGACTTTCTCAAACACCTCTCCTAATGAATTATATAAGAAATCTATTGGCTAGTTTGATCGGTCAGGCCAATTAGGTTCTTTGTTGATTATATTGCTTAAAACCGCTTTAATTTTGTGATAGGTCATTTATAATTTTTTTACCTAATATAGTAATATAGGATACGTATATCCCAATACCAAGGGTAGCGCCAAGAATTTTTGCTACCTATATTCAGAAATCACTAGAAGATTGTACATCACTGTATTCTGATACATATAATTCTCCTTGCCAAGCCATAATTTCGCTTAAATCATACCATCCATAAAAATGCTTATAATCTATAATTAACAAATTTTAGTTAATAAGTATCTTTTAACGTTACGTACTGCATTAGCGTTAGCATTCTGGCATTTCAAATTAAGTTTTGGAAACTAACCTGTTTAATCAAGTATGTAACGTACGTAGTTGATGATCATTATTAATTAATAAACAGTTGATCAATTCATTTTTGAAATAAGTGTGAAACCTAAAATTATTTAAATAATTAAACACATGTTATAAATATATCAATATTTGTTTTTATTTTACAAAGAAGTAATTAACACAATTTAATATGCGATACGTTTAACATAAATAACATAAATAAACAAAATATTTCTGTAATGCATTAACATGTTTCATGCACGCATCAATTATATGGTTTTTTTTGCATATTTATAGGGGTTACATATCGTGTTTAATATTCTTTAATATTAAACCACTATCATACGTATAAAGGCCAACTGGTCGTTATTCTTATTACACTTTCCTTAACAAATTTAACAAACCATGCCGTCTGTCCTTGAGAAATCATCATCAATACCATTCCGATACCATTTTCTAAATCCTACTTGGAAAACCCTTAGAAATTTTGTATTCTTATCACTTACTCTCGCAATAATAATCTTTCTTAATAATCCTCAAACTGAATTAATAATAAAAAAATCCCCGTTACATCAAGAAAGTCATACCAACAACGTTATAATAGTTGTCGATGGAAAAAATCAAGCTACAAGTTTACAACCAATGTATTGTAAATTATCAAAAAAGTCTGGTAATAATATATTTGTTAATGTAGTAGTTACTGGTAAAGAACGTGGGATGTGCGGAGAAGAGTTTAAGGAGCTTAATTCTAAATCATCTAAATGTAGAGTATCCGTGCACGATTTGGATATTAAAAATAGTTCACTAAGCGATGATGCAATTTTGTCGTCTGTATTTAAAGAAACAATTCACGTGATAAATAAGATCAAACCGGTTGTATTGATTTATGCAAAAGATTTAAAGGATAAAGTTATGCGTGGAGTTGATGCTGCTACATTAGCGACATCTCAATTAAATGAAAAATTTACTAAAATTGCAATACCTATTGAATATATTAAGAACGTAAAGTTCATAGCAGATTTGCCAGTTGAAGCACTTAAACGTAAGTATCCTATTTTTATTTCTTATATTATTTTTTATTTCTTATATTAGTGATTATCTAATTTGCGTTCGTATTATTTACGCATTTTAGACTGGAATACGCCAAAATTTCATATACAAGTAGTCACACAAAATCGTCCCGCTTCTTTAAAGCGTCTCGTTGACTCACTTAATTCATCAATTTATCTTGGTGATAATGTACATCTCACCATAAATATTGATGAGGATGCTGATCCAAAAACTCTTGAATATACTCGAAATCTTGAATGGCGTTTTGGTGAAAAAAAAGTTCGTCATAGATTAGTTCAAGGTGGATTGGTTGCAGCTATTGTGGAATCTTTTTATCCTGCTGATAATGATGATTATGGTTTCATTTTAGAAGATGATATTGAACTTTCACCATTTTATTATATTTGGGCAAAATATAATATTTTAAAGTATAGATATGGTCCTGATCGAATTTTAAGTAATAGAATGTTTGGTGTAAGCCTTTACAATTCAAAACATATCGAATTAACTTTGCCTAAACATAAACAATTTAATGCTGCACTTGTTTTGGATCCTACACAATATGATAGACGAAGTCCATACCTTTGTCAAATACCATGTAGTTGGGGTTCAGTAGTATTCCCTGAAATATGGCGTGAATTTCATCAGTATATAACTGCTCGATTAAAGGATATTAATGGACCTAATTTACAGGAAGTTATTGTTCCTGATAGTCGTTCAAATAGGTGGCATAATTCTTGGAAGCGTTTCTTCATTGAACTTATTTATCTTCGAGGTTATGTAATGCTCTACCCAAATTATAATAATTTCGTCAGCTTTTCAACTAATCATCATGAAGAAGGTGTACATGTTCATCTAAAAGGTGGAAAACCCAGAAAAGGATTTCTATTACCACTAATGAAAAAAGATACTATATCTGGAGGATTACCAAAGGGTGGTTTACCCGATTATAGAAATTTACCAATAATGGATCTTTTCGGTAGAGTTGTAACATTAAAAAAGATCGTCGACCGTGGACATGAATTACATAACCAAATTTCATTATGCCCTCCTAGTAATTCAGCACCACTTACATATGATCCTAAAGATCTATTATGTATAGATGAAAAGAAAAAAATTCGTGAAAATTCTACAAGTAACGATCAGAATTCAAATCTAAATATTAATATTAATTTACATGTTGGTGAAAAAGATAATGAAAAAGTTGGTGAAAATAATGATGAAAACACTTCTCATGTTGAAAAATCTAAATCAAAAAAGTCAAAAAAGTCAAAAAAGCACACAAAAAAGTCGAAACATTCAAAAAAAGCAAAGAATAAACTTAAAATAATTCCGAATAACGATGAAATTGATGTAAATGATGAAAATGATAAAGATGAAGAAATCGACGAAGTGGACGATGGAGCTATTGGATCATTTCACCGACGTATTAAAAATATTAGACATCTTAAACAAATTAAACAAATTGAACAAATTAAACCTAACTTAGAATCTGCTAATTCCAATTCTAAATCGGCTAACCTTAACATGGCTAGAAAGGGATGAGAATCCTAACTGGTTATCTATGTATCATTTTTTAAAGTTGCTGTACATGTGATTTAGAAAAGTTCTTTCTTTTTTGAATTTATTTAATGTTCGACTTCAATTAGAGTGAACAAATGTATATTTATTCAGTAATGTAGATAATATATTGGTAATTTAAAACTAGGAGTGTGTATATCATAGTAATAAAAATAATAAACTGATTGATTCAAATAAAAAATTTTTGAATTCTAAGCTTTTAAAACTACTAATAATTGATCCATATGTGTTAACATAGGTATAAATCCGTTTGTATCGTCTGGTCAACTAATTTACACTCCACCCTCGTTATAATATAGCGGATACCTTATTATAACGGAGTAATTTTCTAAAACAATTTAAATTTATTATATTATATACTATTTACCGGATATTCATTTATTATGGATATAATGGACAAAATTTTTCAGCCCGAAGGGTCCGTTAGAGTGTATATGTTTTAGCGAAGTTTATAGAATTTCCCTGTCATCTAATTTCTACTAACATTAACACTAAATCGGGCCAATCTTAGCTTTCTGAAAATGATGAGTGCCGCCCGCAAGCTTTAGGTTTTTTTTTTCATGTAAAAAATCTATTATGGAAAATTTGGATATCTGTTAAATTTAAGTAGACAAATAGATAACTGATCACATATTAGATCCTATTTATCGTGTTTTCGTTCAGTTGAATTTGATGTAGTTACAAAATATAATAAATTTCGATGGGACTTTCAGAGTTTTGAAAATCATAACAAAATCGAAAACAGCGATACCTTAAAAGTATCGGGACAAGCCGTGACGTAACTAAGTTATAACTTATGGCAGCATAGCGGGCTTTCATTGTGATTGGCTAATTTTTGTAGATCATTTTATTGGAATTTATCCAATCAGAGATTACAAATTTTGAATTATCGATTATAATTAAAATAACGATATCAGTCACAGGACATGTCCACATGAGTGCTGTTACTTATAAATCAAATGAGTTGACTCACCTCAATTTTATATGTAAATTTATGTAAAAAAATCACTTAAATT